AAAAAAAAAAAAAGACTTAGAAAAGAAGGCGTTTCTTCTTTCTTGTAGCTTAGTTGGTAAAATATACACTCATTCGAAAGGTACTGGTTGGATATAATAACAACTCAATTAATTGGCAGTTCATAAAATTGGTGATAATTCTGCAATTCAAAAACCCATCACAGCTAATCTCTTCGGACAGAACACAACTGGCCAACATTACAGACAAGCTGGAAAGTAGTGTCCTGAAATAGAAAATCACTAGTTAGTTCTTCAATCAACTTCACTCCTACTTTCATTTAAAAGCACATATTCCTAAATTTCAATTACGTTTTCAATTTGGACATTAGTTGAAATTATAAGTTGCTCTAAATGTTAAAACAATTCCCGGGTTTTTCCCTAATACATGTCACATCACGTTAATCCCAACGTATAAAAAAACAAGGGTGCCTTACAGCTAGAAGTTTCACACAGGCTGCACATTGAACATATGGTAATAGAACAGGTAGTTCGTTTTTGTTTGAGGAAGTGGTAAAGCAAATGTCAAGATGATATGATATCCAAAGCAAGACGACCACACCTCATTAGTTTAGTACTAATAATTTTGAATAAGTTAGGGGTAGTTTTAGTGGACAACACAAAATCATGACCTTAAAGATAGGGTAGATTACCCTTATGTATGATTTTAATAATTTAATTGCAGTTTTAAGTCAAAAGGTACTAAAATTCTGCAGCAAAAGTGAAAATTATTGATAAGTAGAATCAATTTCTGGATTTTGAACAGTTGTGTGAACAATGGTCACTATGGCCGCTTTAGTGGAATAGCGTAGCAAAAAATGAAAAAGGACATTGTAGCTGCTATGGTAGCTGTTGATGTCTTATGTGACTTTCTTATGTGACTTCTAAACTATATTTGAGTGTTTTATTGTCTTGATAAAATTGTTGATTGTTAAGACTTTATTTGTTTAAATTTATTATTTTTATAAGAACCTCATTTTACGATTCATATTATAAAATAAAAATTATGAAATAAAAAAAAAACTTTAATATTAGAGAGTTTAACTCTATTCAATAATTAATATCAATTTAATACAATTTGAATTACACTATTTTTTAATTTTTATAAGCTATTGAGTATTTTACTCCTTTTTCTTTACGAGCGGATTTTGGACTTTGCTCTATTTGCACTATCCCATCCGTGATAGATGATGCTGATTCTGAATATCTATGTAGTGTAAATTACACGAAACCTCTTGAAATTTCAATAAAAACTTGTTTTAAAGGTGTTAAAAGTTTCTTAGAAAACAGACATGAGTTGCAGTTTCAGGAATGGGGTTCATCTAAATGCTTGAGAAAAGACAGACAATTTCTGAGTTTAAACGATATGGTCTCATGTTCATAAGATGGGTTCATCTATATTCTGCACTAAAATCATGGTTTTGTACGTGGGATGACTGTGTGGCAGGAAGACAATAATAATAGTTTTATGACCACCAGAGAAACACTCTTTGATTATATATTTCATCTTTCATAATATCGCTTTTTTAATTTTTCTCCTTAACTAATTTGTTTAAAATAAAGTTTAGATAAGCTGTCTTCCTCAAGTTTCCTTAGGTAAATTTTAGCCACAGAATATACATATATAAGTAGATGTTAAGAGTGCATACCAGGCAAGCTCTCTCTCCCTCTCTCTCAAAGCTCTTTGTTCCTAAACCCATCTGTTGCTTCATATTTCATTGAAAATAACAGCCTTTGTTTCCTAAAGAAGAGTGATCTCCATACCTTGATTCTTCGTTGTAGTCGTCTTTATTCCTTCATCATCCCATTAGCCTCTACTAATGGATAACTTCAAAAACTCCTCGGGCTCTGAAGGTTGCAGCAGCAGTGAGTCTGGTTGGACAATGTACCTTGCCTCTCCTAGGCGAGAAGATGAAGAAAGCAGTCAGGAAAAAGATGATGATAACAACAATCATTATAGAAATTACAGTGACAATGATGATCAAAAGGAAAACAGTGATGATTCTATGGCTTCTGATGCTTCTTCGGGTCCAAGCCATCAACAACATAAACATAAGAGTGCTCGAGACAACCAGTCTCATCTTAAGCAAGATAAAAGGGATTATGCAAACAAATGCTCTTCTCGCAAGGAGGCAAAGAAACAAGAGAAAAGGAGCAATGAAAATGGTTCCAAAAGTAAAGGAAGATTCAGCATTCGGGAAAAGTACCAAAAGTAACCAGTCTAAAGCATGAAAGGTTTGTAGGAGTTCACCAAGTCTACATGCAAAGCAAATGCACCTTCTTTAAAGAAGTTCTTTTCAAGAAGAGAATCACACATGTATCTTCATTCTCCTCCTAATGTCTTTTTTCCGAAGATCTTTACAATTCCAATAATAAACTTCAAAATCAATGCATATCTGATATTGTCACATAAAAATAAGGAATTTATACCACAATATACTGCACTTCAGCCATATCTTATACCACAGTTTTGAGCTAAAACCAACAGACTTAATTGAAAATTTACTTATCAAAACTGCAACTAAACAAAACAAGAAAAATAAGAAATTCAACTAGAATTAGGAGCACAGAAAGACCTAATGTAGCAATAAGACACTAAACTTGTGGTTAATGAAGGAAGTAAACTTCTCAATACAAGATTCCGTTAAACAGCATTGTCTGTCATGCTAGAAAGAACAGCTTACAGCATAGGAATACAGGTGGTATTCTTGGCAGGTGTCTTATTAGTTTTGGGTGGTTAAAATGATTCCAAATCAGGTAACAAGAATCCATTTTTTTAAGTTCATGTGTTTGTATGTGCAAGCCATTAATGAAAGAACAATGCCTTGCTGTAAAGAATAAAAACCTAATTAGGAAGACAAATGCCAACTATGAGAAGCATTTTTTAGGTGCAACAGCTGGCTAGATATAGACTATGGCTTCAAAGTCAAAAAAGGAAAAGTCAAATAGTAAACATAAATATTCTCTTCCTGACCAAAAGGAATGCTTTACTTGATTTCAAGGTACAAATCTTGAACTTGTAGATTCACTTGTCAGGATATTCTCAAAGATCAAAACTAAGATATGGGAAAAAGATAAGAGAAAAGATTAAATTTTAAAGTTTGAGGTTTTCTTCTATGTATTTTGAGCTGATTACTTTTACCGTAACATACAATCTTGAGATTGATCTAGGGAGAAACATAAGGGATGACAAAGAATGTAAATTGTGTACAAGATTGTATGTAGCCCTACGTAATCAAGTTGCTAATGCAGACCAGTAGTCAGTGTTCAGCAGAAGAATGCATACTTCCATTTCCAGAGCCATTGCTGGGCTTTGCATACCATACAGCCAGACAAAGGTATCATCTGGACCAACCCATTCAGACTGGTCAGAATGTATGTATAACACATTAACCAAAACAAGGTAGCATATTATGAGAGACTGCAAGGAACAATGACAAACCAAAAATATATTTGCATCTAATAGTGTAAGGCAATAAACTTCATAATGCTGGACAGGAACAGAAAAGTAGTACCAGAAAATAATGAATCTTCTATGTTTGAACATTGAACTAGGAACAGTGCCCCGCACTGGCTAAATTATCGCTTTGGAATTTAGATTAGAAAAGGGACCACTAACTTGATTGATGCTCAAGTTTTGACACAATATAAACAGAACTAAAGTTAACATACTAAGATATGGTTTAAAAATGTAACTGGAACACAGCTGAGATAAACTTTCACCAAAACTGTTAGGTATAATGTCCAGAGCAGAAATCATCAGTGCTTATTGGGATTTCTGAAGAATACCAGAGGAGAGGACTTGATTATTTAAAGTCAGCATTCTCAATATCTCTCTATATCCTCGCCTTCACTGATGTCCCCGTAGAAATCACTTCCAATTTCATCCTCATTCAAGGTCTCACTAATATTGCTATCCATATACCTAATCTCATGTATCCTTCCCTTCTTCTTATTCTTCTCATTAGCTACATTATGGTCTTTATTCTTATCATCCTTAGGAGTCTCTTCATCCACTACTTTCCCATTTTCCTAGGAGCTTCAATCTTCAACCTCAAACCTGGTACAGCCTGATAGACTGGTAGCGCCAAACTCTCAAGCAACTTCAAGTGACTATACCTCATGTTTCTCCACTTTCTCAGCACAATGTCCGCAATTTCATTAATAGCAGCCATCACATTGGCCAAAATGTGCTTTCTTTCCATGGAAAGCTTCCCCATCTTCACCACACTGCAAGTCCCAGTACTGAAATACAGTAAGCCTGAACTGCAAGCATTGCCTGAACTGCAAGCATTCTCAATCTGCTCCTTCCAATTCGTGTGTTTCAAATCCAATGCCACCGGAATCTTCTTCTTCTTAAAAAACTGCTTCCCCAATAACTTAGGCAGAAGAGGTATAACCCTCTTATCTGCAAAACATGTCATACGAATCACAGAGCTTCCTCCTGGCGTCAAAAGGACGAAAATTCGTCTTGAGCTTAGACACCTTGAGCACCTTGCTGATGGGTATGTTCTCAGCCTTGATTTTCTTAAAAGCAGCATCTTTGGTGAGGCCGGACTTGGACCTATCATCGATGATCAAGCAGAGCTCAGATAAATCCCGCATGGGGCTGATTAGGGAGTGAGGGAGCAGGATTTTATGGGCATTTACGAGGGCAATTTCATGGATTTTCTCAAGAGTGAGGATGAGGTAGACGAACTCATCTTGTTGCAGAAGTTAGGGCTTCTGGTCCTTGCTTGTGGAATCTCTCCATTTAAGGAGAGCATTCAGTGCTTTCTCAACAGTTTCGGGGTCAGTCTCGACGGCTGGTCTGCAGCTGGTACGCTCATCTCTATGGCCGCGACTTGGTACAAAGACGACGAGAAAGCGAAGAAAGGTACATAAAGAAGGGTTATGTTGCATTCCACTTCCACAGAAAGGAGAGAAGGGCTT